AACAAAAAAAAAATTACAGGCTAAAAAAGAATTTTTTTCCTAAAGGTTTTTATTGTTTTTAGCCAGTACCAGTGATGCAGTTGATAACCAGCAAACAATTGATGACTTGCTTATGCAGCTTAACCTTCGTCAAGTACAAAAATTTGAACCTGTTTTTCCGACAATTTTAAACGATGATAGCGATGAAGATGACAGTTCGCTTAAAATCGATGAGGAAAGGTAAAAAGCTGTTGAATTGCTCCTATAAGAACTGCTTTCAAGGATATTCATTCAGTTTAAAGGTGTTAAAAATTATAGAGATGGTCGTATATCTTAATCTCTCTATTCACCTGTTATTTAGAGGAGCAATCGCGCTTTTTTTTTTGCGCAAAAGAAACATAAATTAAAACCGTTTAGATCTGTCACAGTTTCTAGTGCACTTTTCTATAGTCTGTTGAGGTTCATTTATTTTGTGGAAAGTAAGCATAACGAAAACTAAGAGAAGAATAATAAGAAAAGTGGTAACGACAGGCGTTTTTTTCCAGGCGTCACTTTTCTGCTCTTTCTTAGACGATCAGTTTATACATCATAATCACTTGAGACACTCACCAGAGCTTTCCTGGCTTCATTCTGTCTAGAGCTCGCATCTTTCGGGTCTCAGCACGGAAATTTTTCTGGTTGACAATGCTTGAACGTAGATAAGATATGGTGCACCAAACAGTAACTGTTAATATCTCGGTCAACATCAAAGAAATAGCTGCTTATTGAGACACCTGTCTTGGTTTTATATCAATACAGTGCAAACTCGAGTATTTACTTCAACGTCTTTCCGGTGTTTCACTAAATGGGTCATTTTTAACGCTTTTATGAAACGTGGAACTTCTTATCTGAGCAATTCTGGTCTCTTTCTTAAGACTAGCGACCTGCGGATCGTTAGCTTAGAATGGAAAAATTTCAGGTCGGTAGAAAAGCTGCTTCAACAGAAGAAGCAGAAGATAGGTGGTGGTGAAACAGAAGCTAGAGAACTGACAAAGAAAATACATTTATTCTAATGTCTTTTTCTGCTTTCTCGGGCTTTTAAAGAACTGTTCTAGTGTAGATTAAACACTTATGGGAACGATCAGCAAGTTCAGACTTTCTGAGCGAACTTTACTGTCTGGTTTATAATTTTACAAATAGCATCGAGAAACACTCTTTGCAAATGAAATAAATCAAATTTCTAAACGAAAAATACAAAACTAAGAAGAATTTCAATATGCTTTTATTAGTAGTGTTTTGTCACTTCGTCAGAGATGAAGTTTTTCACCAGCTTTCAGAAAAGGAAAGCGAGGTTTCTGACGGTTTTTAAAGCAGGAGGGGAACGAGAGGAAGAATGACGTTTGGGTAAGACGGCGGGCAGGGTAGGTTCAATGAGCATTTCCTAAAGAAACGTATGCTAAAGTTTGTACTTCGCTTTTCATAATATTCTGATTTCTTTTCATTGAAACCAAAAAGTCAAAATGTTGATAGGAAAGATGTGCTGATGACAACTTGAAACCGAGTATCAGAAAGGGGAAAGTTCATCATTTCTGTAAAAAGATCAGAGACAGTTTTAGTTGTCGTTAATAAGTAAATTACCATAATCATCAGGACCTTCGAAAATGTTTGATCAAAAATTACTAAAACGGTCATCGTTTACGCAGTTTATCGGTATTTCGTTCCGAATAAATTAAAATGCAGCAGTTGCTTTTTATGTTTCAACGTTGCATAACCAACTTTTTAATTTAGGTACTGACAAGTGCTTTAAGAGTTTTGAGATTTTGATTGCCTTTAATTGTTGCCGATGGTAGTTGGAAATGACAAAATCACATTCTCAAGGACTCCCAAATTCTTAGCTGTCATTTTTGATTTTTATAATTGTTAATAATATTAACCGTATTTTGCAACAGTACTGTTTTTCTGTATTTTTGACAATGCTTTTTTTGACTCGTTACTTTAATTTTTAACCTAGAATTTTGTTCTTCTTCTGTTGTTTCTTCTTCATAATTATGGTTCAATTGTGGTTGAGAAAAAAACTGCTGAAATGACATTTGACATGGTTTAAAAATTAGTAAATTCGTACAAAAGATAGAATTAAGAAACTTTTGTTGGAATTGAATCACTAATTTTCTGAGCAGCATTATTTAGAGCAGTGTTTCATTGTTGGCGATGCTGTCGGATTGATTAATCAATTTGAAACAATTAGTTTACTTTAATAGATTCTCTGTTGTTAATCACAACAGTTCACCAACATCTCAATCTTGTTTGGAATGAAGCAAAAAAGCTTTTTTCCATTTTAAGAGCAATGAGAGGAAAGTAAAAGAAAATTTTGAAGCATATGACCAGCTTTTTTTTTTTATAAAATTAAAAATATTTCTTTTCTCTTCAGGGAGGTTCGTGAAGAAAAAAAGGATTCGAAAACCTGTGAAGAAGAAATACAACGACTTCCGGACGGTCGTGAATTACATACTAGAAAAACCAGAACTTATAATATGAAACAAAGCAGCAAACATGTAGGTATCCAACTTATCAATATCGTTTTAGTGTTCTTCTCAGCAAATCAAAGTTGCACTAACCTAAAGTTACTAAATTCCAAATTCCTTACAAGGACAGTTTGTTTGCTGATTTATGTACTATAGATCATATTTTGTGTACTATAGATTTATGTACTATAGATGCACTTTCAGATTGTTATAAGAACACATGGTGGTGGACAGGATGAAAAAGTACAAAAATTTGAGGATGATGATATGAAGTTCAATGATGACGTTGATACAGATTTCTTTTCACCAAGAAGAACACGTCTTTGGGATCGTAATCGACGCGGTTTTGATGATGCTTTTGATGAGCATAACAAAAGGGATGATTTAGAAGATTTTGAATTACCACCAGAAAATGCAACCTCTCAAAAGGTTAAAAAAGTGGAACATACCAACGCAGTTACTCAGTAAAATTTTTTCCTGCTCTTTTCTCTTTCTTTCTCTTTTTTTCCTACTATTAATTTGTCTTAAAAATAGAGTAGAGTAATTGGGCAAATAAATGATACATTTCCCATTTTAATTAACTGTACCAACAACAATAAGCACCAAAAAAAAGAATCTTTTTATTATTGAATCGGAAGTATGATGATTGAAAGTTTGAAGGTATTTTATGGGCGCCATAGTCAATACTGTCTGTTTTGCCAATAATTTCAGTCATAACCTGTCCATACTGTTCTACCTCTATTTAACTGTACATCTTTTTTTTTTTTTTTTGGAACACCGAAGTTAACTGTCTGTGTCTCTGTGTGGTGTATTTGTCGGTAGTTTGTCTGTGTGTGTGTGTGTGTTTGTGAGTGTGAGTCGGTTTATACGGTATGTTGCTATAGGATTGATACAGTCTTTTCACTAATTCATCGCCGACTTGCATCACTGAAATTTCACTTCATTTGGTGCTTTTAGAAGCAGAAACAGTGCATCTGTAAAGTGTTTGATCTCAGATTCTTTTTGTTGTTGGTAACAGAAATGTTGACAGCTAAAGGCAGTGGATAACTGCCAGTTGTCCACCATGAAAGACGGTGGTACCTGAAGAAAACGCTTTAAATCACTAATACTTTTGCTTTTCTTCTCAACATCTTTCTCGTCATTTTTATTGTAGGTCAGTGGCCAAAACCGAAAAACGTAATGGCAAAATTGTTTCTGATAATGCGGCACATAAACTTGACAAATGTGAATTGAAAGCTAAACAGGTGGAAAATTATCAGGTAACTAGGAACTTTTATTATTTTACACATATCGATCTGATTGGTTAATAAGCCAAACACAGTTGATGTGCCTTTCATCGTTCTTTTTGCTCAATAATCTTTTCTTTTTTTTTATTTTGCTTTTATGTTTTCTAAATTTTTTTGTTCTGTTTTTTTTCAGTAGTCAAGGTTTTTAAATATAATAAAAAAATAAGACAAAAGGAAAAAGAAAAAGAGGGAAATGATATTAAATTTTCTTTATTCATTTTATCTTCTTCTCTCCTCTTCTTCTCCGCCATCTTCTTCACCGTTTTCACTATTTCCCTTCTTTGATGTCGCTTTTTTTGCTGTTATTCATTCGTTCAATTCTTTTGCGGTTTAATTTAATTTCGAAAACGAAAAAAACGGGAAGAAAAAGAGGGGGGGGGGATAAATAAATAAACAAATAAATGAAAACTCGGAATATAAAAAAATGTTGTTTCTTTTTTTTCAAAACATAATAGACGGTAATCATTGTGGTAAAATTTAATAAACTCAATGAATATTGGTAATATGGTTTAGAGTTTGTAGATGTATTTAGCATTGCAACAGTAATTCTTCATGAAAAAAATTGTTGTGCAGATATTTTGTCCAGTAATATACTCTCCGTTCAACCACCAATGCAATAACGATATACCAACAAGAGAATTGAACTTAATTTAGGCCAATTTTTGCAGAATAACTATGAATAGTAATAGTTAAAGAAAGAAATTCATTCTTTTTTTTGAAAGTGTTTAGAAAAAGTTTTTTTATCACATATTTTATCCTCGTTTATAGCGGAAAATAGCCTTCAACAGTAACCTTGAGGAAACTTAAGACAGAGGGACAGCTCAAATATAGAAGATGACCAAAGAAGAAGATCTGGTAAAAAAGAAGAATTTCTTGAAAAGAATTTATAAGCTTTGATAACAGAAAATACTGCTGTTTTAGTAGGGTACTTCTCTATAATGCTACAAAAAAAATTGAAATTTTTTTGCCAAAAAAAAAA